AATTTCATCAAACATCTTACCCGAAAAAGCTTTCTATTCATTGAAATGAGTTTCATTTCCCCTTAGTTGAATACTGTCAACAAAGAGGACCCTTAAAAATTACCCCCTTCGGAATTTGGGGACATCACTGCTTTTCAGGAGGCAGAGGTCAGAGGAGAAGCATTTAGGAACTCACCTCAGCATCAACATCCCAAAGCCAGAGGATAACAGGCCTTCTTGTTACTTTCCCAGTAAATTTGGCAAAAACTTTGCCTAGAAATTGCAATCATTGGCATGCCACTTCCTGAGGGCCAAGGGCTTCTAGCCTCTGCATCTACCTCTACTACACAGCCCAGTGATTGGCAAATGGCTGACACTCAACAGATGTGGGTAGAAATAAGAGACCACCTACCTGAACCAGACACAGCTCCTCATGGGGCCAGCCCCATACCAAATCCAAGTGTTACCAGCAGCACCCTCATTGGATCTTAACCAACTGAGTCAACCTTGAAGTTCAAACAATCCTCCTATTCCTTGACCATTCTGCATTTCCCTTAAGACTCAAATAAAACATTAAATGGTTTGAGGATGCTCTGGCTATCTGTTCTAAATGCTAAGTGTCTTATTAGACAAAGGAGTCTGGGTCTGACTCCACTAGAATACAGATCTGCTCTGAGTATTGTCAGCAAGAGCTGGAGTTTCACCGTCTCAAAGTATCATTAGCAACCAGAGTTATTCTGCACCTACCTTTTAAAGTCAAGTCTCCGTTTTCTCACTGCTTGACAAGCTAGGGAGGGTAAATAAAGGAGGCTCCTGGTGCAACTGGTTCTGTGATGGGATCCCTGATTTAAGACCAGGATCCAATTGAGAAGCTGTACTGATAGCACCATAAATAATAGGGAAGCATCAAGCCTGAATTGGTGTGCTGTGTTAGTCCAGGACCAGGTACCGTGTCATTATTTATAATCAAGCAAATTCTTATTTTGGTTTCTAGAAAAGGACATCATGGAGAGAATTAATATTGAAAATGGAAAGAAAAAAGCTATAGAGGGAAGGAAGGCTGTTTGTCCTTGTTGGGGAATAAGAGTCAACAGGTAAAAATATTTTCAAAAGACGTATTGAAAATAGTTATATGAGGAAGGTTTTGTTTTTCCTGGCTGATTTTCTCATGATCTCAACCAATGTCTTCTTGCAGCTGACCTTAGGAAAAAAGAAGCAAAAGTTTCCCTATCGACAACAATCAAATAGCCTAAACTATTTTTTAACAGAATTCCAAGTAAGTGCTGAGTCTTTGAAACAAAGATCACCAAAATACAGTTTAATATTATCTTTTGGTAAGATTTTTCATATTAACAAATTCACAAGTCAGGAAGGAAATTCCCAAATTAGGACATCATGTCACTATTTTTAAAACCTATGTGGTCTTAGTATTTTTATTCATGTTTTAACCTCTGCTCTTTTGAACTTTATGTAACAACTATGGGGAACCTCGTGGGTCACAGATGCAGAGAATGGGGTGCAGAGAGTAGGAATGAACTGTACAAAGTCTACTATCTCCCCATGTATATCTTCCATGGCTCAACTCACCTCTCCCTCGAGTCTAGAAGTCCGTCAGCCTCACTTCTGTTAACACTAGTGCTACCCCAGGAAGGCAGGGTTAAGGTGTTCCCCCAAATAAAACCCTCTCTCCTCCCTCCCACAGTGGTCTTGCCACTCTCAGGGAAACCTAGAACCCAGGTTCTTTTGCATTTGGGCCTCTCCTGCAGCCAAGATCTGCTCTGAGGGGTCAGCCATGGGGCTGCGTGGGCAAGACAACCCTCAGCTTAGAAACATGTTCCAGCTGGCAGAGGGGAATCTACTCCAATACCTGTCTACCCCTAACACCCCCTCCCCACCACTGAGGAGAATGACAAGACTCAGCTTCATGTTATCCCAGTGCTTCCTCATAACAAATTGGTACAGTAAATGGCATCACCTGCCAAGGTCACACAGTAACTGTCAGAGCTATGCCTCAAACTGGCAAGTAAGTCCCTGCAACTGATTAGAAAGGCCACAGACCTTGCAGTTAAAGAGCCCTGGGTGAACACTGGCTTAGATTTAGGCAAGTTCCTCAAACTTCTGAGCCTCAATTCCCTCATTTCTCAAGGCGAAGAGAAAGAGTCACCTTTCAGGGTGTTTATGAGGTCCTCAGACAATAGCTCTGATACCCCAAGAGGGCGTGCAAGGTTACACACACTATTTCCCTCTGGTTCCCTCTTCCTTTTAGGGTGTGGAGTATGTTTTTTAAATCAGCAGCCAGCATGGCTCAGGAGTGGACACACGGGCCTCACCTCCTTGCACAGGGTTCCTTTTTAGGGAGCATGTCCAGATCTGATCAAGAACCAGTCCCCATCAGGAAGATCACACAGCCAGCAGCTATTTCTATAACCAAGAAGGAAAAATGAAGACGCCAGAATCAAGCTGACATGGGACAAAGGGGCTGAAGATGTAGCCAGCTGTCACTTGGGGCCTAATTATCTAGCAAAGCCCGGGTGACATCTGAGATCCCTATCAACCCTGAAATTCCCACCAGAGCCTTCCAAGTTTGATGTAGTTTGGATATAGGCATCCAAATTAAGCAGAGCATGAGGGGTTCTGGTGGTCCCCAGTGGCCATTTTTAGCAAGCACCCCATAAATCTCTGGTTCCTAAAGAAACTGCAAGTTTGAGCGGGCAACAAGGGGGCACTATTGATTATGAAAGACTCAAAACTTAAAACAGGTTTTCAGACACCTCCAATTAACCTCCTAGATTAACAGGTGGAGAAGTGCCTTGCAAATATCACATAACTAAGAAGTGTCTGACCCAATGGCCCACCAGGCCTCCTCACTTCAGTTCTTAGATCCTTCCCTTGGCTGAGACCTCTCCCCTCATCCCTTGGAAGCCATTGCCAAAGTGCCATCACAAAGACTTGCTTTTACCCCATCACCCTCTGTGGGACACTCCCAATAGCTCTTCCATGGGCTACTCAATAAAGCACAAAATACCCAGGCCAACATTCAGGTCTCCTTTTAGCATGATTTGACACGACCTTCCTAGCCTTATTCACCCTTCCTATGTACTCATTCATTCACCTAACAAATATTTATCAAGTATAGAATTGAAGCAGCACTGAAGATTAAGTAATTAAAAACAAAACTGTTTCTGACCTTTAAAAGCTCCTGATATAAGAAAATTGCCACATGAATAGAAAATTATCATATTATATATTAAGGACAGGGAAATGTGGGAAAGAAAATGTGGGGGAAATTGCAAAGAAATATAGGAACCAGAGCAGGAATGCAATCTCAAGAGGGAAGTTACAGTTAGGAGAGTCTTCCAGGAAGAGAGGTGGCCAAGCTGGACTTTTTAAAGGGCCTTGGCCAATTCTTAGAAAGGAACAGAGGGGCACCAGGACAGGTAACAGCCTGAAACAGAAAAAGGCAGAGTTTGAACATAAAGTCCACGGCAGATTCTTTTTCACTTCTGCACTTATACTGACTCAGAGTCTAAAGAAACAGGTTCTTGATAAAGGGTCACCAGGTAAATGGAAGTTGTTAGGGAATTGCCATGTTGCTCAAACACCAGAGAGTGAAACAGGTAGGTGTGATCAGAGGCAAGGCCAGGAGAGAGGTCACACATCAGACCATGCAAGGCCATGTGTGCCGTTCAAAGACAATCAAAATTGATCATGCAGGTCAAGGATTCCAAAAGTCTGGCCCTCAGGGTTCAGTGTCCATTCCCTTGAAGCTGGGAGCTCAATTTCATGCATGAATTCAGCGTTAGTGAGATTCTAAAAGGGGTTCAAGACCCCTTTTAGATAACTGGGATAAGGTTCAAAAATGTTTGAAGGTTGCAAGTCAGCGAGGACCTGACTAAGACTTATTATTTATGAGGACCTCACTGATGTCTGAGAATAGGTCTTTGTCTTTTTCACTGCTGTTCTCCAAGTACCTACCTCCATGCTGACATAGGATAGGTGTTCAGTGGGAAGATTGACAGCTGTGGGGAGGAAGGACTTGAGGGGACACCACAAGAGGCAAAGAATTGGGGACTGCTGAAATGAACTGAATGGAGAGGGGAGGATTCAGATGTTGGTAAAGAGTGAAAGATACACATTTGAGAAATATTTTGGAAATAAAATTCACAGGGCTTTTGGCCCTCCCTCCTGGTGTAAAAGATTAGGATGCAGCACTGCAAGCTAGTCGCAGCCCCTTCAGTGCAAGTTCGATCCCTAGTCCTGGAGATGATCTACATGGCCAGCAGACCTCCCCTGACAGGTCCACTGCTCCCCTTCATTGATCTACCTGTTCTGCTCCCCACTGTCTTTGGTGGATCCTTTCACCACCATGCACCTCTGGCTCGTGCCCCAGTTCTGTATGCACAAATAAATAAATCTTTAAAATACTGATTTAAAAAAAACCCTAAAAAAAAAAATTCATAGGACTTTTGCCCAGGACGAAGGGATGTCTCAGGATGTTAACACTTCTGGGACTAAACCCCTAAAAGAGACACCAGCTAAAGATGAGTGCATGGCTGCCATAGTTAGGAGGCCCGTTTAACTGGTGCAGCTGGAATGAGGGGGGAAGAAGGAGGCGACACACATTACCCCACAAGCCACAAAGTCACTCGTACTCTTGAATACATTAGCCCCACCATGTCGGTGACACACACAGAGCACAGGGAATGTATCCATTAACAAAATCGGGAGGAATACAAGTTTAAGGCTCTCAAGCAAACATACTCATCTTTCCCAGCAACTTCTGGCCATGTTGTCCCCTTTATCCACAACAGCAGCAACAATTCACTCACCCCTGACAACGCCAAGCCCAGCTTTAGCTCCTGGAGTGGGGTGGGGCTGAACAGCAGGGTCTGTACCACCCAGAATGGAGTGGGGG